TCGACTTGAGTGTCTAGATATGTTGCTTAGCGACGTGGAGGACCAGCGAGGGGGCCCAGAGTTTCTATCCCTAGCTCTATATGCGGCCACTCTGCTGCTTTCCCTGACGTCAGTTTCAAGGTCTTCACATGTTTTATTGTCTTTTTTTTACTGCAGTATAGAGTCAAATACTGTACTGGGACATTTTCTACCGGCAGCTCTGACTTCCTTCTTTCTTTGTGTGAATCAGTCTAAAGACATCCGTCTTCCAGCGGTGGTGTAGCATCTTGGAATGCCACCGATCCCCAGACGAGCCGGAGGTGCTCCGGATGGCGTGTGCCGAGGCTCTGTGTGTGGCTGCCGTTCATCTCGTGAGCCACGGATCTCTGCCCACCATCATGATCAGGTGGGAAAAAGGCCAAAATAGTGTCGTCAATCAAACGATCCCCTCCGATGAACAGGGATGAAAACGGATGAATCTCTGTGGTTTAGGTCGATCAACACGGGCCTTCACTTGCTGCAGGACCAAGACCAGCAGGTGAGGCTGAAAGCGGCCCGTTTCACTTCCACGCTGCACCATGTGAGAAAAGGAGAAAGCCGCAGGAGCGTCTACCTCATGCAGGTTAACCAGGCTTTGCCTCTCCTGCTGGACCTGCTGCTGGAGGAATGCTGGGACACCCCGGGCACACTGGAGGTGCTGTTGTGTCACCTTCCCCAGCCTGACCTCAGATCCGCGCTGAGAGAGGCTTCGGAGACAGGGTTTGTAACCTCACAGGATCATACGCACTTGTGCAAACGGAGCAGCTCAGCTCGATTGTTTCTGAGGTGTTATTACTGCTCCCCCACTCAAGGCGCTCCAGTCTGTACGAGCAGGACGAGGCCAACGTGTTTGCAGAGCCCTCTGTGATGTCTGCACATGTGCTGCCCTACCTGCTGCAGATGGCGGAAAGGTCCTGTGAATCCTCTGCTGTGGGACAGCGGCTGAGTGCGTGGGCAGAGGAGAGTGCTGCACAGGTTCTAGACAGCCTTGCTGTCTGCAAAGAGCTCCATCCAGGTACCACATTAGCATGATTATAACAATATCATCAATATGAATCAAGCTGTGGTATGTTCCAAATAGCCTTGTCTTACAAAGCACGTTTTGATTCCCTTCAGGTGAGGCGCTGACCCCGGCCTGGCTGGCGCTGCTCATGGACCCGCAATTCCACGGCACCCTGTGCGGTCTGTTCACCAGGGCTGCTCTTCTCCTTCGGCTCTCAAATACATCCGAGCATGTACGACACCTCTGTGATCCTTCGGCGCTGCACGCCGGCGTGCGGGGAAGCCGGACGCCTGCTCAGGCTCAACGGGATCCACTTCCCCTCGGCTGTAACGGCTGCTGTGGCTGCAGAGCTGCCGCTGTGAAGGAACCAGAGAGAGACTCTTTATCTGTACACGCAGTGAGCAACGGGCGCTGACATGAATAAATGAATGTCATGTGCAGCCTAGTAGCACAACTGCTGATGCTGCAGCACACCAGCACATGACGAGCTGACCAAGTCAGATAAGACACTCGGTGGACGTCACCCGCCAGGTTCCTCATTAGCTTTTTACTCATGTTTTTTCTACAATGATTTCAATAAAAACGTCTTAATATTGTATTTTTCTTTTTTAGTTTGTTCGGCTTTAAGCTTACGAATGCAGAGGCCCAATCATAACTGCAGGTCTGCTTTAATTACTATTTCCGTGGCCGTGCTCCTGTCCTCCGTGGGTGTTACTCGCCACATCGCAGCAGCAACAGAAGCACAACTCAAACAGATGCGATGATGTAATGCGATCATCGCGTCTGCCTCCAGAGGTGCAACTCGGTGCCCAGCAGGGGAACCTAGTGTTTGTTTTGATGCTCCATTAGAGACCTTCTGCCTGGGTAAGTGTCCCATTTTCTAACCACATGGACTGCAAATGATTCACTGGATCTGGTATCGAGTCAGTCAGTTGCTCGGCAACGGATCACACACTAGAGCAGTCTTACATCACCAGATAGCTTTTGTTTGAGCTGAGCGGCTCAGTATCGAACAAACACTCACACGAATCACTTTGCTCATGTTCTGGTGGGCTGTGTTGGGTTACTTATTAAATGGACATTGCCATTTTGATTCTCACAGTGTTTTTGGAGATATGTCACTGTCTGAGATAACTGCATTCTTAGAATAATATCTAACCAGACAATTTATCAACAAACTGACTGTAAACTATTTGTTGCTGTATGTATTAAACACAGGATTGATTTTATTTTATTATTTCACCTTAATGTTTCCATTGAGGTCGCATGAAGTGTTTCTGAGCATCCAGATCAAGCCTGCATTAATGATTCATACACAAAGCTCCTGCACTGTATTCCCCCAAGGACCCATGTCATAACACACAGCTGGTGCGTAGAGCTCTCCACAAGAATATCACTTGCCTCCGAAGAAGCTACAGGCTGTTCTTGTCAAGAATGATACTTGCAGATAATGAAAGTTTAAAAAAAACTCTGACATCAACACGTTAGAACGAACATTTAATCGTCTTATCGAGACTTCTACCACTGCGGCCACTAAATGTTTTTGCCACAGACCCGGCTGAAATTCCTAACGCAAGTGTCTTGCCAACATGAGAAGACCTTGCAGAGATAAAGACGACCAGTCAAAGGTTTGGACACTCTTCCTCATTCACTTGCTTGTGCACAGTTGCTCTCCGGCACGCAGACGTCTCACATTGCGAGCGTTCAGAGCAATTCTCCTGAAGCCCGGCGAGGGTTCTTCTTCAGTTGAATTTGGAGCGGATCCGACGGTTTATTGCTGAGACTTTTTCCATAGGGTGTATGTCAGATTATATAGTATATATACATACGTCAGACACGGTAATAACAATCTGAACCGGATGTCTTTGCAAAACAAACCCTTTTAGGTGTAAATTGATGGCGCCAGTTGCCGGGTTGGATTACAATACAGCCCGTCTGCAGCGCTCTCATTCAATACTAACCCAATTTAATAAATGATCAGCCCTTTTAGTCCGTGCTAGAGGTTGAAAACCCCCAAAGTGACCGTCTATTGAAACATATATTACAAAAACAACCCCCTGTAATTCAGTTGCATTGATTCCCAAGTCATTTAAGACAAAGCTTTGTGGCTCAGATCTTTGAAAATACAAATGTGGGTTTGAAATTTACCTCAAGTTAAGTTAAGTCACGTGGCTTGGCAGCATTTCAATGTGTAGGAAAACAAAGTTAATAAAAAGATAGAACTTTTCTGCTAGAACATTGTGGGCAACGCTGCATCTCATGCCTTCCACCTTAAAAACAAAGTTTGAGACGTGAGTAAAAGCAAGTTCACTGGAGAGAAAGAAAATGACCATCTGGCTCAATTCTTGCTGCTGTTATCGAGAGCAAATCGTCTATAAGCATAATTACATCCTGCTCTTTAAATCATTTACTTACTGTGGCAACAGGGAATAAGTCGACTTTTTTTTCATTTTCTTTGTGTGTGTGTGTGTGTTTATGTATACATGCTTACAGATGGGTGTGCACCATTTGAAGGATGAAGGAGTGTTTTTCCACTGTTGCCTGACAAACCAGTTGATCCAGAGGACGACAACAATCCCAATGAGTTCAATGTTAATGTTCCTCTAGGAGTGTTTGCATTTAGATTTTTGTATGCTGCTCACTGCTCAGCTTTACAGCACCAAACTATTGAGGTCTTCATGAAATGTTTATCTTTTATAGCATTATGTCCCAAAGCTTGAAACAAAGCCACTGTAAGTGTAAATGCTGTAATCATTTAGCAATGTGTTTACTCTTTTAGTCCATTGTGTTATATTCTTGTCCACTAACAATCATTCCAGTACCATTAAATATTATAAGAACAAACTTTGGCTATGTCACAGATTTATGCAGTTGATTCCACTCCAGATGAAAAGTCACTTGAGTTTGGGGAGCCGTGGAATCTATTCCTTGCAGCAAGGAAATCAACTTCATTCCTAACGCCACTTATTGATAGCAAATTGCAAATTGGCTTATTTGAGGAAATTGCACTTTCTTGTTTCTTGCTCTTCTGAGTTTGTATCCCTGTGGTTGAAATGCACTTATTGTAAGTCGCTTCGGATAAAAGCGTCAGCTAAATGACATGTAATGTAATTCCTATATCAAATCAGATCTTTCTTGTAGTAAAAAAGACTTTTGACTTTTAATCTCATAATTTACCTGATCTTTTTGTCTTTTAGCGGGAGGAAATGGGCCTCCAGAGTTGGCTCAGTACAACACCATTCCCCCTCTGATGGACTTGTACTTCCACCAAGTGCATGCTGGGAGAGGCCCCTGCCCCCTGTGACCCTGAATGAGCGGCGGTGTGACTGAGAGGGCCGGGCAGATGCTTTGTGTTTGCTCTAGTAATTGCCTGCAAACTGGGCAGGCATCTATTGTGAAAAGTGGCTTAGTGAACATGGAGTGACTCACAGAGCCCCGCCGCCGCCACGAGCAGACCGCCGGTACCGGCTGAGACCAGTTCCGCTCGCCCTGCATGGCTCTCTGTGGGCTCTGCTCCTCTGGATCGAGTCCAGCGGAAAAAAAACAAAACAAAAACAGCCCGTGTGTGTGTGTGTGTGTGTGTGTGTGTGTGTGTGTGTGTGTGTGTGTGTGTGTGTGTGTGAGTGTGTGTGTGTGTGTGTTGGAGGGGAAAGCCTGGGAAACAGGAATATTGAGCCTGGGCCGAAGCACCGGGCCCTTACATAAGACCCTTCAGCTGCACGGGGCCCTGACTTCAATGACAGCGGTTTCTTCTCAAATAGAAACGGAAAGCAGAGCAGCCGCTATCAGCCCGGAGAAGAGCGAGACGTTTGAGTAACGTCTTCATCGCCACCACACTGCCTGCCATCAGGGTTGTGTGTTGCGCGCGCCGGGGGGGGGGGAGCCTTTAGGACCCTGAGGTTGGCGCTGCAGCTGCAGCTCCTCCTCCCGCAGGAGGCTGTTTACGAAGAGAGCCTCGGTTCCTCCGACAAAAACAAGGGCTGGGACTCCGGCGCGGCGAGCAGTGTGCCCGCGCAGCACAGGCTCGTCTCCATCTTTGACTCCTCGTCTCCGTTGTCTTCAATAGATTTAAAGGAAAAACATTTTTTTGTTTGTTGCTTTTCTTGGAAAAAAGTATCGCACCATGTTGTCGGTCGGTTCCTCCGGTCTGCTCTTGAAGACGCTCCTGTCCGTGCACGCGGTTCTCGTGAGCGCGGCCATGGTGGAGAGCAGCGCGGCGAATGGACACGAAAAAGGTAAAAAAAAAAATTAAAAATTAAAAAAAAGAAGAAAGAAAGACGAAAGGCTGTTTCTTTGTGTCGGATCGGCCACTTGTGGCGAAGAAGAACGTGTTGAGTGAACTCTCATTCACTTTAAACCGCATACATTGTTGTTGTTTATCGTTCCGTCATGTTTGTGCTCACGTGTTATTTTGTTTTTCATTCCCAGGCTGCACGCGCGCAAACGGTGTGCAGTACAGAGGGGAGGTGCACAGCTCCTCCTCGGGTCTGACCTGTCTCAACTGGGCCAACACCAGCAGAGACTACGACGATGGAGTCCAGCCTGATTCACAGACGGGTAAAACACCTTCTGGTAGATTTAATACAGAGATCAGTAAATGGCCCTTTGAGTTATTCCTCTACAAACACAGTTTTCTACAAGAATAGCAAACGTCTTTGTTGACATGTATGTGGTATAATAATACAGGCTGTTCCAAACACAATGCAGAGGATTGCTCCATGCACAGATGTTAACAGCCTCTTATAGCAGCTGCCATCACGGCGGCCTGCTCCTTGTGTAGCGATGAGGACGTGTTCGTGTTTAATTAATCCCACTGGTTGGGACGTGCAGAGACGGGCCCATGTTTCCAGGAGGTGTCAGTGAGAGGCCTGTGCCGTTTGTACCGTTCCTCTCGCAGGTGTGGGAGATCACAATTACTGCCGAAACCCCGACTCCTCTGAGGGGCCGTGGTGCTACATTGCCGGCCCAGACGGGACGGTCCAGAGGCAGTTCTGTGCGGTCGACGCATGCAAAGGTGAGCAAACACTGCACACAACAATCATCGTTCCCATTTGGACACTACAGCTGGCATTAGCAGAAAGAAAAACGAGATGCCTGGCAAGGAAACAACACTGAAATGAACTATTCATCCATTCATCCCAGAGACTCCCGGCAATGACTTTCTCCTTGCTCTGAAGTTGTCAGGATTTAAGAACCGTACATGTTTGTAGTTATGCAAATGTGGTAATTAGAGAAGACGCCGGCTTAACCAAACCAAAAAGGTTCTGTTGTATTATTTACAGCAAATGAGCCATGTGTAAAATGGATCACTGGCAACAAGTGTTTTCCCCTGTTGAGTATTAGTGTGCAGTAGGTCGGCTGCGCAGGATAAGCCACTAAGAGAAGTTTTGTCTACTTTGCCCCTTTGTTTCCTTCTATTCTCTGAAGCCAAACCAAGTCACACAATAACAAAGCCCTGCAGCTCTGTCATAAAGTTCAGGTTGAAGAAAGCCATTGAGCACGCCCCCCAAACCCCAGCTCATTGGCAGGGAGAGAAGGCCTTTTGCACGGAGACAGCAGCTAATTGGCTGCTTCGATTAATGACATCACGCCCTTTAACTCCAGAGTTTGAAAACAACAACTTGTGCGGAGGAAACGGAAAAGGAGTTAAAGAGCAGATGTTGATGCTGCAAGCAGAACCTCCTGGGGAAAGAGTCACGCACGCAGAGACGGTTTATGTCTCACACATATTTCTGTCCACACTACAGGTATTATTATTGTTACGTTTTAAAATAAGATAAAGGCGATTTCCTGGAAAATGATAAATTCTATTCTTGTATACAGCACCTCTAAGGCTAAGTCAAGTCATTGAAAATGACTGTACTTCATCACATTAATGCAAAAGTCCAATAACAATCACAGCAGTCATGAAGCTGTCCTGTTCATAGATTTATATCCTATCCTCTCAACTCTCTAATACACCCTCAGATAGTAAAGCAACAAATACCAAGGCATAAATTATATCGCAAAATCGATGTATGGCAGTACATTCATCATTTCCCACCAACCGGGCACTGCTTTATCTGATATGGCTTCCATCGGCAGCACACACACAGCACAACTCAGGACATCGCTGATTAAAACTCAATTGTTATCTTACACTGCCACTGGTGTGATTTGTGTCCTTTAGAACGAGCCCCGGAAGAGGCAGAGTCCTCCAAGCCAACAGAAACCATTCCCCCGACTGAGAGCTTAGAACCGGCCGGGACGGAGGCCTCTCAGGGGGAAGTGGCTGCTGTGCAGCCAGTGATGGGAATCAGCCAACGCGTGCGCACAGGACCCAGGAAGAAGAAGGACCTCGGCATGCTCGGTATGTCGTTACTACACCAAAAAAAGGGCTTTGAATTCGTCTTTATTGCTCCATGAACTAAATGTCCAGTTGCTCAGTTTCAATGCTCATTTCTTTAAACCTTTTTACGTTTTCCTCGTCTTTCATCTTTCAGGCTACGTCATCGGCATTCTCATGATGGCGATCATAGTCATCCTCGGAGTGGGCATCACATTCGGCTACTTCTATAAGAGGTCAGTATCAAGATCATCGATCCGGTGCAGTTTGGAATAATTTGATGACGAGGATCTAATGTTGTGACTGAGACACAAAGCCGAAACGAGTCCTGAATGAGTCTCGAATGAGACTTGCATGAATTCATTACACAACTACCACAACAGAGCGTGGGGAGAAACAGGACATTTAAGCATCGTATTATTTGATATCTTTGAAATAGAGACAGGGCTGAATTGGATGCAAAACTCGCCCATTTACTGCAGTTATGTAATGTGCAAAACGACGGCCCTGTTGCGATTCCCTTTGGCTCAGTACAAAACACACTCGCAGGTCTGAGTTGGGGCTGTCAGATCTGATTAGCCGTGTCCCAGTCTTCGCTTTCTATTTCAGGAGGTGATTGTGAATAAAAGGGGGGAAGCGTGTTTATAAGCTCCCTCAGCTTACAGCGACATCCCCGTCGGTAATGTGGTGGCTGTTTTGGCGAGCGCTCGCCTGCAGTGGAGGGGCGCACCTCGTAGAAAGTGAACAGCTTTCCCTCTAAACGTCTCCTGGCCAGAGTGTGTGTAACGCGTACACACTTTATTTCTATACTCCACTGCGGACGCAGACGCAGATCCCCTGCAGGCCTCCCGAACACACAAGCAGGCACACGCACAGAACAAAGAGAATCAACCCTATTTGTACACGCCGTAGGTCACACGACTGCCTGCGCGTGACGGGGCCGTTACCGATGATCGTGACCAATCTGTGCCGCTTGTGTTCAGGGCTCAGGACCTAAAGAAGCAGCACGAGCAGCGAGTGTACGAGCGCGAGATGCAGCGGATCACGCTGCCCCTGTCGGCTTTCTCCAACCCCACCTGCGAGCTGGTGGACGAGAACACCATCGTGATCACGGCGGAGCCCGAGACGACCCCCGTCCAGGACGACTCAGAGGGCGGGGACCCTCTGATGGGCCAGCAAGCCGGTACCCCCGGAGCATGAGCGGGCCTGTAGTCCTCAGACGCGGGACCGCGATACACTTTTGTAAACCAAAGCGTTTCTTCGTTTTCTCCCCTCGAGCCTCCCTGAGTAACCTCTGATTTGAAAGGAGCAGGGGAGCAGTGTTTGCTCCAAAGACTGAGTGCTGTCCTTTGTATCTCCTTTCTATTGGTTTTTGAATACAGAGGCCCAAACTAAAAAAAACACAGAGGAAACAGTCCAAGCATCTTGAAACCCTCCCGGCGGATCTGTTCTCAATGAAGATATGGCATGAGGTCTTTCGTTTTCACGTTTGCTACATTTGATAGCCAAGAAAATACGGTCATGCCCCGTAAAAGGAACCGTCTGAACATCTCATCTTATGGACTTGCTAGTGTTTGTATTAGCGTGCGATGAAACCAGTTCGTTTGGAATGGCGGCTCATGGCCTTTTTATTTTAGATGTCCATGTGGAGACGGTGTCCTCCACCGGAGGTTTCATTTTTATTCACCTGTTGATTGGGCCGAAGGAGACGCAGAGAAGAAACTTTTATGTAAAAAAGAATGCTTTGTCTAGGTGAGACACGGGAGTCCAGAAATATCCTCCTCCTGGGACAGGATGAGGGAAAATTAGGTAAAACTGGCCCACTAAGAACAAGAGAAGGCCTCCAACTCGGCCTCAGCATAATGCTCCTGAATGTATTTCTTCCTTTTTAACCCAGATGGATTTATTGTCCCCTTTATACCCAACAAAACATGACGGGCGGTCACGTCATCGGCGGATGGGAGAGCGGACCTGCCCTTTGCTTCCACGGGTTAAGGAGTGACAGGGAGTGTTCCTGAGAGACAGGTGGTCCTCAGGACGAGTCAGAGAGGTGTCTTTGCAGAGCGCGTTAGGATGAGGAGGCCGGGTGTTTACATTCTGACATTTGAGTTGCGCATGGGACGCTTTAGGAGAGAGAGAGATGGAGTAGAATAGAAACATCACGAACGCTTTGCTGTTCCTTTTAAACACGCCAGTGCATGCACATGCATACCTGCTGTATGCTTGTCTTCAGAGGCCATATCTTTGCATCTTTAAAAGTGGAACTACTGATTGAATTACATATTTTAGAATATACCTTCATGGAAATATAATCATGCACGATTTAGTTGCACGTGACGTGCCGTTACTTCCCAGTGTATTGCAAGTTTGTTTGTTACAACTCTGTCACTCCACATGATCTTGTTTTGTGATTAATGCTGGATCCACTGCTGCTCCATTATTTCATGTGTTTGTCCCAATTGTATTATTTTTTCTTCATATATGCAACATGTTCAAATGACTGTTCAGTATTTGAAATGAGTACTTGTATAAATGCAGATTTTCACTGCTGGTATTGAAATAAAACATCAAGCACAGACACCTCAATGTATTGTAATCAATAAATAAGAAATGATAACGGGAGAACAACATAATACTGCATAACGGCCGCGGAAATGTCTTGCTGTTCAAAGTTTGCTCACCATCTCCCTCTGTTGGCTTTTCTCAGACACAAACTCCAGTCATTGGAATTACCGGAGACAGAAGATAAAAATTAAGTACATCATACATTTGATTTCTTTGTAGATAACAGACAATATTCACCTTTATTTGAGGATCCACAGCTCTGCTCCAAGGTGCTAAAAGAAGCAGATAAACGGTAAATAAGAAGGTAATATTGGTTAAAATGAACAATATAAACTCATTAATCATGATCATTTATCCAATAAATTAACCCAACAAAATGAGAACAGGAAAGTGCAATTAAGAGGAACAATTAATCGTTTATCTGGATTGGAAGAAACTGAGGTTATTAAACCACTGGATTCCCTGAAAAACAGAACAAAGAATTATCAATATTTCAGGTTGTTATTGCAGTGATCCAAGATAACCCATCTCCTCTGCTTGTTTCTACAAATGATCATAAATAAGACTTTTCCTGACATGCAAAATGAAATAATGACAGTAAAAAAACCTACTTCAACAAGGTTTATTTGTGAAACACTACAGCGATATAAATAATAGTGGTTACAACTGGTCGTCAGTACCTCGCAGGATGATAGCAGAAAGGCAAAAACCATAGTTAACAAAATGTCTAAAAATCTAGAGACCCCATAAGAAAAAGGCATTTAATTAGAGGCACGATATGTACATATTTATATATATAGATTAAGAAATGAATCCAGTTCTTCTGTACAGCAACTTCTTATGGTCGACGGCGGAAGAGTTGTCTGCCGATCATTGATCACTACTTTAATAAGAGCTTCTGCCTGTTTTTTTTAACATGCATCAGGTGTTTGACGAAATTCATGCATCCTTCTAAGAAATTAATCGAAAACGTTAGTCTTTTAAGTACAGAACCATACTTACTCATCTCATCAAATATTTGCTCTGCGTTGTTCTGACGGAAGAACGTCTAAAACATTCCGTCTCCATCTTGGAGACCTCAGGATGATGAAGCTATTCGCAGTCGCTGTGTGTTGTTTCTTCCACTACTGTTTTACGTCCCACCGGTTTCCTGCAAACTCTGCCGTCTGTTTACTCTGACCTATCGATCCGCCAGACAAAGGACTGATCAATCCACACACAGCGCACAACCACTTCAGAGCCAGACAGACAAGACTGCTGTCACGTCACACTCATGCAGTCTTGTTAAGAGCTTCCTCTTTTGCCGCATACACAACCAGAGAATGTTGCATTTTGTCTTCATGCCTTGTAAACCTTATTTAAAGCCTGTGTGTAGTGGGAGCTTCAAAGGGGAGAACTAAATCGTAAATAACTCTAGTCCTTTTGAAATGTGTCTTTCCGCCTCCGTTGCAGTTCCCCGGCACTCTCAGAGTTAAGGTGTACGTGCAAGGAGGTTGGTCCAGCTACCGCAGCTTATCCAGTTCCAAAACGCCTCTGCTCTGATGCAACGTCCCCCTTTTCCTCCTCCACGTCAAACAGCACTAGTGCAGCAGTTCAGAGGGGGTCAAAGGTGACAGGCGCGGGTCCTAGGTGCCACTTCCCGTCACGCAGGAGGAGCCGGGAGGGGCTGCCGCTGAGGTTGATGACTGATTGGTGCTCTGGGACGGGGAGCCGTCCTTCGCCATGTAGAGGCGACTCGCTCTCTGGTGCAGGTCGTCCAGTTCGGCGGGCAGGGGGATCCCCAGCTCCTGGTTGAGGGACAAAGCCTCGATCCAGTCCTCCAGCTTCTGGAAAGGTGGGCTGGAGGGGAAGAGCAGACGGGGCAGGGTTTGACACGGCTGAGAGAAAAAAAAACACGAGGAATCTGCCGGCAGAGGCGTGACTCGGTGAGAGCAGGTCGCCGTGCTGCAACATATTTTCCCCCCCCGAGGCTCATATGAGTGAGTGACAAATAGCATTATTCCCCAATATTATTAAAAGTGATGTCTTGACTTTGACCTCGCTCGGGCTATCAGGAAGCAGTGCTTCACAGCGGGGGGCTCACCGGGTGTCTGGCGTGAGGTCACAGCAGGCCACAGTCAGCGGGAAGAAGGCCGGCGGACAGTCTTCAGGGAGAAACTTCTCCACAAACTTGCCAACATTCAGGCCAAAGTCCAGCGTCCTGGGCAGGCACTCGGGGTCTGCGGAGACTTTTCCAATGATCTGGATCGTAAGACAGGTGGAGGGGTGCGTCAATAAGCTACTGGGTAGACACGCCCTTGTGAACTCAAACATCAGCACAGGCCATTGCGTGTTGCAGCCCATTAATTGCAATGGTGTCTCATTTCAATGACGTCCTAGAATGTCTAAGGAATACAAGCGCTGTGTAGAGACTTGAATGTGGCAATGAGGTCTTAGGAGGACATCAAGGAGTTTAGATAATTCGGGTAAAAAAAAAAGAAAAAAAAAGAGGGCATGTTCTCACCTCACAGAGTACGATTCCGAATGAGAAAATGTCCACCTTCTCGTCATAGCGTTTACCTGAAACAACATGAAGTGAAAGGATGAAATAAAATAAAATAAATGAATCATCTTCTGTGCATAACTTTTGTCAGCGGCTCACCATTTAGCATCTCTGGAGCCATCCAGTAAGGGTTCCCCACAACAGTGTACCGCTTCTTTCGGTCGATGCGTCTGAACACCCTCTTCTTGGTGGTCGGTTTTTCAGGTGGAGGCTTGACTTTGTCCTCTAGTATGAGCCGGGACAGTCCAAAGTCAGCCACGACCACGGTGTTGTCCTGTTGAAAGATGCCGCTTAATGGTTGCATTTTAAACTATTTCTTTGGATTACTGTTTCGAACCCTGAACATTGTGAACAAGTGTAAGCCCACTCGTCTTCTCGTTCAATACAACCTCGGTCACTGGTACAAAAGCTTAGGCCTTACTTTTATTTACAGTATGAGCTCATCAGAAGGATCAGCAACAGAACTGTCTTTTCCTCTCCATTTTGTTTATGTTATTAAGATATTGTAACGTTGCAGATAAGAATACGCCAGGTAAATAAAGAAAACAATTAGCAATGAAAATAATAAGTAAATGGGAATTCATGAGAATACAGGAGGTGTCCCAAACTCAACTCCCACATAACCCCCTTCCTTTTTAATTGAATTGATTTATAGTTAAGACTCACCCTCTGTAATTGTGGTGTTTAGGATGTTGTGTAAGATGTTGTGTCACGTACCAGTTTAACCAGGCAGTTGTAAGAGTTGAGGTCTCTGTGTATGATGCTCATCGAGTGGAGGTAAGCCTGCAACAAAGAAGAAGAAGTCAAAGAGGGTAAAACTCACTTTTACAAAGTAAAACCTTTCAGCCATAGCCACACATCTCTACAAGCCAATAGAGCACATTAACGAACAAGAAAGCTGAAAATAGCAGCCTGTAGTAATGTCTGCGCAAGAGGCCAACTCACCATGCCAGAAGCGATGCTCTTTGCAAAGCTCACTCTTTGCTCCCATGGAAACGGATCCTGTTGGTCCCGAGTTAAGACAAAAACAAAACAAAAAAACGAGGGAGAAATGAAAAGAAGATCCTTCATAGGCCATAATGCATATAAGAGGCCAAAAGAGGTACATACAGCAAAAACCGTATTTAACAGGGACAGTGAACAACATTAACTCCACCACATTCTGCATATTAGAGCACTCTCCCTCTCCTCGTAGCCGTGCGCTGCCCTGAACCGCTTCTAAATAACAGTCCGCTGTGGGAGGAGGGGAGCAGTTCACCTGGAAACACTTAAACAACATTTCTCAGCCCGCTGGAGAGCCGAGAGCCCCGAAACCAGCGCAGAGCTGCCTCCAGGTCAGCCCCCTCTTCCCACACGGCGAAGAGGTATGAGTGAATAGACTCGCTGAACTCACCGTGTCTCTGATGAAGTCTTTCAGGGTCCCTCCCTCGATATACTCGGTTATCAAATTAAGCCGCTTGTCCTTATACAGCACGCCGATGAACTTCAACACGTGCGGATGTTCGAGGCAGCGCATTACTTTCACCTGAAGATGAGGCCGAAACAGACAAAAATGTCAACAATAAAAGAAAATTTAAAAAATGAATGACATTTCTCATGAGACTAAACCCTCTAAACCCTAAAAAGGGAGGTACAAAGAAGTAATTATGGGAACATTGTTCTGTCTGCAGATCACCAACCTCCTTGAGGAAAGTCTTCTGTGTCTCTTCGTCACACCGGATCAGCTCCTTCATCACCATCACCTCTCCTGTGGCTTTATGAGTCACCTGTTGGCGGCAGAGAGCAACATCTGCCTTACTTGAAGGCCATCGCATGAGGACCCCCCCAAAAAAAGTCCAGAATGAAGTTGAAAACCCGGCTGGGAGGTTAAAGGCTGACCTTTATAGCCTGCCCGAAGAAGCCTTTTCCCAAGATCTCTCCGTGGATGAGGTCACATGGCCGGAAGATGCGATGAGAGCAGCTACTGTAAGATCTCAAGGATTCAGAGCGGCCGATGTCTCGAGTAACAAAAGGCGTCTCTTTGGGAGAATTTGGCCCCGGAGACTTACACGTGCTGTTACTGCGCCTGGAATAGAGGCACTACGGTTGGTTAAGGATTCTAAATAATTATGTGCACATCTCCGTGCAGACCAGCTTCGTGTGAGCAAGTGTGGGTTTTTTCGGCTCTGCTAACATACCTCAAAGACCTGCGTTTCAGCGAGCTGTCATCAACGACGTCGGCTCTCTCCAGGACCGCGTCCGACGGCGAGGACAGGCGCATGCGGGACGGGGGTGAAACCCCCAGACGGGTTCTTGGCGATCCCAGTCGGAGTCGGTCCAGGCGCTGCCTGATCGGGTCATACTCCATGAGGAGCTGCAGCGTTTGACTGGTGCGGTGAATGAGTTCATCCACCTTAAATGAAGAAACAAAAGAGGGTGTATGTGTCACTATTCCCAAAATTCCTTTGATTTCTCAACATCGACAGTTGCTGCTGGAGGTCGACCTGGAGTCCGACCCGAGGAGTTTGTATGATTTCAAGCGGAATCTGACCCAATAACACCGGAGTCTTGATGATCATTTACGCATACGTCATATAGAGGCAACGGTATTAAATAGAGACCTTTTCACAACTATTTAGAAGTTGATCATATTAACGTTAACTAAATTCAATTAAACTTACTTACGTAAACATTATAACCTTCATTCAGCCGTAATTTATTGCAAGACTGTGGTGTTAAACTGCAATTATTTTGGCTAAGAAAATCAGAGAGCCGGAGTCAAATTACTTTGTAGGAGTTGACCTTGAATCAGATTGAAACAGATTAAAGAGCGTGACTTCATTCGGGCAAACGTAAGCAACCTCTGAGATGAGATTGTTTGATGTGTAGTTCACACCGCATACCGTCCTCTCCCAGCTAAAGAATTTATAAATAATGGGAGGAATTCAAAGAATGTCAAAGAATACACTTGCCGTTGTTGTTTAACAAGAACATAGCTTTGCAAATTGCACTCAAGGAATGGACTTGCCCTCAATAGCGACACTAATTAGCTTCCTCTCACATATTTCACATAACATCTAAGGTGGGGGATGTCAGAGATGTGTGTGAGGAATAAACCTACCTCCTCCTGCATCAGTGTCCCCACAGGAAGGCCATTTATCTCCAGGATCCTGTCCCCAACATGGATGGCATTCCGGACCTCCGGACTAATGAGCATCCCTCGGACTCTGCAGCAACACAGGACCAACATCTATAATTGAGTGTTAGCACTAAAGCAAGAACGTACAAACCGTTAAAGCAACTGGGTCACACGCTTAGAACACATTAAGGTATCAACTAGCCTTTGCAGTGACACATTTTCACATTAATCGCGCTGCATAACAACGAGGCGGGCACGGAGGCCAGCTTCCAGCTTCCATCGGGTCACACTCACTCTTTGACCTGAACGCTGGCCGAGCCGCTGACGTCCCTCAGCACCGTGACGGAGAAGCCCCTCTTGCCGTTGGCTGCAGAGGGCATCGAGATGAGGGTCACCGTGTGCGGCAGGGAGCCCAGCACAGAGTCGTGGGAGTGCTTTTCCAACATGGGTGTAAGAACCACCTGCTTGTAGCACTTTCCACTGAACACAACAGGAAAAAAAGGGCGGGGGGTTGGTGTCGAGTCACTGCATGTGTGGACATGTGTGTGTTGTTAAGTTGCTTTTCAATGACGTAAATAATAAGAGTTCAGCGGCTGAGAGTTCTCTTGAGGTTATAAGTCCGTCTTTCAATAAACCCGCAAACTAACTTCCCGAGAAATACACCGTTTATGCAAGAATAAGAACAGCGCAGAGGTCGGTAGGCATAAGAATTAAACACCTCCGTTCACCAGCATGGTTTCTAAAACAAGCACAAATTACAAAAAGGATGTTTACATTTAGTAACAAGCTCTACTTCTTCACCATACATTGTATTGCTAATTGCATGCACATTTGCAGTGCTATTCCAAAAGCAGACAGCCGTTTGTGTCCATTTTGTCAAAGCTTTGGAGAGGATTGTGCAGATGTCTTACCAGTAAAGGTTGGATCGCTCAACCAAGGCGTAGGTATCCCTGTCCTCAATCACCACGTTGCAGCTCAGACACACAAAGCACTCCGAGTGATACTTGTGTTCTCCGGCCACCTGGAACCACAAACAAATTGGGCTGATCTTCAAAAATGTCAGCGTGACTCAAAGACGAAAGATGCCGACGGTGAGGCTGCAGCTCTGCTTCTCTCGACAGCGAGGAGCGTGTTGTACTGAGCGTGTTGTGAGGAGCGTGTTGTGCTGAGCGTGTCGTGCTGAGCGTGTCGTGCTGAGCGTGTCTTTGTGCCCTCCTCCTGCTGTGAGCGGTGACACAGACGCAACACCTGCTTTACTCTCACGCTGTCTGGAATCTGCTGTGATGTCACCCCTCTCTCTCTCTCTCTTTCTCTCTCTCCAGGTGTGAGCCATTCACCCCCCCCCCCTTCATTAACACCACACGATTTCCCTTTCTGAATGAAACAAAATGTTACATGTTTTACGTCACTCTCTCTCTCTCTCATGCAAGATGAGATAATGTGTTTTTTCCATTCGGCAACTAGGTGCTTTAATTATACATCAGATCAAATGTTGATTTTAAGTGGTAAGCGTACATTTTAAATGCGGCTCAGTGGAAAATGTGTGGAGACACAGGGATGAAACAGCATGATTAAAGAAAGAATTACACACAGGATGTGTTTTTAATGATATGTGGCATTTGTGTTTAGAAAACAAGACATTAACATACATATCCAATTTGTAGGAAATCAAACTCCAACTTTATATTTATAATAATTCATGGGGCTGTTGGTGAACCACTCATATATATCTTTTTAAATGATTCCAGCTTGTCCATTCCTTTATATAATGTCCATCACCAGCCTGCTGCACCAGAAACCATCTTCCAATGGGAACACACACACTTCCGGAGCCTCGCTCGGACCACGGACACAATGAACCTCAACCCTCATTTTGATCCGAGTCATAGACAATTCCGTGCCGGTTTTGGTTGGCAAAAGTCAAAAGATATTAAGGTTTTGGGTATAGAGAATACACAACCTACTAAAAATCGGCTTCAAATTAGTACTGTATGTAGTATGGATTTAGGACAATTCCAGACAATCGCTGTCTAGTTCTCCGGAATAAAAGCCCATTAATTAGCCACAGCTCTGAGTCATGAACTCAGTCCTGGGAAAGGCATTTTCTTTGGAGAGATAAGACAGATGTCAGCCAAATTATTGTGACATCTCAGGAGTCGGTCTGGAACTCGCTGCATCCGAGCCAAGAGCGAAAACCGCCGGCACCGGCCGTGGTCGCAACCCGCCTCGGGCTTCGACGGCAACACATGAAACACCGTGTTTGGAGAAGCTAGAAACCCGGCAGCGCCGTCAAATACAACAACCATCTTCACTCAATTCGATAAAGCGACCTACGATCAAAACCAGGACAGAAACAATAGCGCCCTGGACGTGAACGAGCAGCCGCAGCTCAGCGTGACCCTCCGCCGCCGAAGGCCCACACTGATTCCCTTTCTGGCCGAGAAACTGCAAATCTGTCCTGCCAAGAACACTTGGCTTCACTGGCTGCTGAAGCAGGAGGCCAATACTAAATAGAAGAGTCCATTGTGTGTGTGTTGCTTGGTGGCAAAACGAAAAAAAATTCAGCGCGGCTCCATGTTAAACAAGCGACCGTAGTTGTGAACTGATGCCACCGGGATTTAATGCAGGAGTCTGTTGGACGCTTGGATTCAGTTTAACATACAGCGGTTGCTCTGGTGCCAGATTTGAGTCGTACATTTACAGCTCGTCATGCTCCTCTATCTCCTCCTATCCCAGTTTCTGTCTCTACTCTGTCAGAAAAAGCACCAAAAATAAGTAAATAACAGCTTCCCTAAAAGTTACGTAGTCTTGCTTTGTGAAAACCCATTTCCACAGATAATGATGCGAGTGGTGGACTGTGGGTGAAACCTCAACCCCAGAGGACGCAACAGGATGCGCTGCAAAACCCCCTCATGTCCTTGTGTCTTCCCACTAGATCTTCTTTGTCCTCCCTGTGTCCTCCCTGTGTCCTCCCTGTGTCCTCCCTGTGTACTCCCTGTGTACTCCCTGTGTACTCCCTGTGTACTCCCTGTGTACTCCCTGTGTACTCCCTGTGTACTACTGGAAAGTGAACTGTGGAGAACTTGTGTTCAGGGAAAGAACAAGTGAGGTCTGCAGCCAACGTAAAGAATCATTCATCTGTGAATGTAATCAGCGCCACAAAATCATATATCGTGGCCCTGATGCCGAATATTGAGACCCGGAAAGCACTGACATCCGCTGTTGCAATTGTCGTTTTTTAATGTCTGTAGGAAAAATAGAGGAAGTGTTGTTTTTCTGCCTGTCTCTTTTGTAAGGGCTAAAGTGTTTGCCCTCGTATATTGTGGCTCGTCTGTTCGGTTATCCGGAGCTCGACCGTTTATATTGTTCTTTCGGCCCCAAAATAAAACCTAATTGGGAAGAAGAGGCCCGGCCCCCTGTGGTTTTTTAAATTCTCAAAAAATTAGTGGGGGTTTTTGGGGGGGGGGGGGGGGGAACAGGGCGGGGGAACAGGGCGGGGGAGAGTTAGCATACCACGTTAGCATTTCAGCAATTTAGCATAGCAGCTCCACAAAGAGGTGAAACAGGTCAAAAACGATTTAATTGAATAACTACCGACATGTCGGCCCTCATACAGCATGCGTACGGTATCACACAAGCTTCACAGTGGCCTTTAGTTGTTGTGTCTTGATGGGCTGGTATGTGCCCATGTCTTTTATATGCCACACCCTCAGTGTGCCTCTTACTGGTGCGGTTATGAATGATTAGTGAAGAAAGTAAGAGAGGACATTGAAGAACTGTTTTTACAGGCTGGGTGACCTCTAAAAACAGACAAACAGTCAATCAGGCTTTGGTTGAGAATTAGTCTTAATAAAATGTTGTTGTGTTATTTCATCCCTTAGTTTTGGAAGTTGGAATGAGTCAGACTTTGTCAGATATAATAAACAGGCGCAGCAGACTTACCATGGCAGGTCCAGTCATGAGCAGGGAGCAGCCATGACAGAGCTCGCCAAACTTCTCCCAGTAGTGCTCGCGACAGTACAGCTTCCCTTCCTTCTCATAGTACCAGTTAGTCAGGTGGTCACAGCACACGGAGCATCTGAGGGGTGAAAAAAAGGAAAAGCCCCGGTCACGTCTGCACAGAACAAAGTACACCAGAGAATAAAGACACGGAGGCTTTTCACAAAGTTAGAGCTGTCAATGCTCAAGTGAACGTGGCAGGGGCTCAAAATTAACCATTAAATATTTATCAAGACCTCTTGATCATTTCCAGAGGTGTGTGGTTGATATCTGGGGAGACCCTCGCGCAGCGCTGCTCTCATATTACAGCCAGTATTATGTGTCTCCACTTTGTTGTGTTTAAACCTTCCCTGAAACTATCAAGGCCCTTTTGTATGATTCTCAAAGCCCGTTTCTGGTGCTACATACCAGCGAACGACATAAAGAAAAGTAAAGGAGAGCTTGTGCAGAAACTCTAAATCACTCAGAAACGCTTTTCCACTGCGAGGTCAGAGGGCACAGGAGCATAAGCTGGGGGCCGGATCTGATACCTGACTGACAGCATGCACTTTAACAAGGTGAACAGAACAGTAAATAACTTGTTCCCGGGACGTGCCGGCCGGGTCTTGCTTGACTGCTGATATTTCTGCAGTGTTATAGCGTGAGACCAAAAGAAAAAGACTTAAAGGAACCTAAAAGCCTTCGAGAATGATGGATGCAGAAAAGGTTTGGTTATTAGCTTCTGCACGCGACCAACAGGGCTGCCAAATACTTTGCTGATTTCCAGCACTTAGACAGGGCGCAGTGGTTTGAGGGATAACTGCACTGCTACTTTGACAAAAAAAACCTATTACCATTCAAACAGGCTTAAAAATGACTTTAATCTGGGGCAGCGATCACATGATAAAAGTATACTGTCAGCGTTCTGGTTAAACAATAACACAGACTACAAGCTTAGTTCCACCTCATGGCTTATGAGTACGGTCCAAACTCACCAGAGGATACTGAGAAAATTAAAAAGGGGCATTTCTTTTGCTGCTACTTAAGGACAAAATGTTCAGCGTAAGAAATGCTGACTGGATAGCAAGTGAAAGCTCGGAGCGTTCTGTGAACACGATGCACTGGTTCTGCAAAATGGTGACAGCAGGTTCCGACTACCAGAACTCAACTCGGTGGGTGAGCGGCTCTGTCTGACGTCAGGATCGGTGAAACGTTCGACAGCCTGGCTTCTAGAGGGTTTGGACAAAGATGCTAATGGGCACTTCTGGTGGAGCGGAGCAGGCGAATGAATCACAACAAAGCAGACGTGTCGCAACTGTCTGAAGGGATAATTTCTCCGGAACAAAAACAAAACCAACATAGGTGTGACCAATGCACAAGTCGCCCTGGGGAGTGCCTATAGCAGACTATCAACTGACTGCACTGACTTCCTGATTAACAACTCTTTAAACCAGGATTATAATTTCGTCCGAAACCATTGTGAGAGCCCTGCTGGTGTTTTCGCTGAAAGTCATGCTCACATTCTTACGTCCATGATGATGATGATAAGTAGATCACATATGCGTGCTATGCAACCATTGCTTTGAGTTAGAATGTGGGTCTTTTGGCATTTTCAATAAATCTTGGCTCGGCGCTGGCGGCGGCTCTCAGCTGAGCCTCGTGCGTCACGTTAGCTCGCTGCACCGCAGGTTAAGTTGATCCAGGCTTATTGACTCTGGCAGATTCCAGAGAGTTCAAAGTGTTCTGGCAGAAGTTCAGAAGGAACCATCTTACAGAGGGAAGACCACATATTTGGATCTATTGTGGACATAATAGGGAGAAGAGGAGGGGGAATGGGAGGGAGGGGGGGGCACAAGTTGTCTTTGTACATCAAGTGGTTAACGGCCTTCTAACAAATAATATGTGGAAACAAATCAGGCTGTTCTAAGTGAGATAAAAGCTACGTATATATATATATATATATATAAAGAAAGAAAGCACACAGATGCTTTATATATATATATATATTTATATATGTGTGTGTGTATATACACACACACACACACACACAAAGCTTTAACAGAACTAAGGATTGCAGATCAAAAAAGATGAATTTTATGTTGGAGACTGTATATTGACAGAGATATTATTACATTTCCAACTCTCAAATTCTGCCAAAAGTCGAGGTGTGATCATTCATAACAGCGCTGGTATCAGTATTGGTGCAGATACCAATGACTTCCCCGACTTGGTCCGATCAGATTAAAGATAAACACACACAAAGAGGAGAGAGACTGGAAAGAAGTGCAGCGCTCAAGGTGAGTAAGATGTTCAGCATCTGTGCAGGTGTCGCAGTAAAACAAAAATGTCCACCATGTCTGCGTTGCTATAAATAAAGAGCAGCTCATAAACTATTTTCCATTATGTCCCTGTAATAAACCCTAATAAAGAGATCTAAGGGTTCTTAAAAGAAACACCTGCCTCCCCCCTACAGGGACTGGTAAATGGGGGGCGTGAACGCTCAGGTGGTTCTTCAATGAACAGTACAATGGTCCTGCCTGCATCAACACTCCAAAGTAAACATGACTCATTTCCTTAAATCCGCATTCCTTCTGGAGGGTATTCCTTTGTTGGAGTGCAAGTGCAGATAGTAAGAGAGAGACTTCAAATGGTGGCCGTGGCGACCCGACGAGTGCTTCACCAATAATGGGACCTTATCTGTGGGTGTGTGACGGTTGGGCTCCAAATGTTCTCCACAACAACCAATAGTTTATCCATTCATATCACAGGGACATTGTGTTATTGGACCACATGTCATGGTAACCTCAAACTTATCCCAATCACCCAATCCTGCTGATTTGTCAAGAACAGACACGAGCACCAAATCTGCACAAACCGAAAGCAGAAAACATTCAGGGTTTTCAGATTGGCATTATTTTATAATTTATGTCAATGAACTTATCAATTAATCCACTTGTCCGTTCTGTGCTGCATTAAATTCAAAGAAAACGCGTCGTAAAAGACAGCTCCAAAACATAAAGAATAATATCAAAAAATATTATATTCCTCTAAATGTTTTATGTGGATTCAGTTTTTTCTATTTGTTTAATTTCACATTCTAGTGCAGAAAGTTAGCACAGTTTAGTTATTACTCAGTCCTAAAAATATGAATAACAATACTGTTTGTGTGGCCAGATCTATGTGATGAAATATCTGCAGCTCTATACACCTCTAGTGAACAAGTACAAGATAATATCCAGCTTTCTTTAGGGGGAAAAACGACCCCAAAACTCTGCACGGAGTGTCTGAGACAGTGGACTCACGTCTCTGAATCGCTGTCTAGGAATGCGGTGCGCAGCGCAGGGGAGCGCGCCGCTACCTATAGGCCTCAACATCCCTGCCAGGCTTACTGGAACAAGGCTGACGTCAGCTTGTAGGAATGCTGCACACGGTGGAGGTACGAGGAGGGGAAAGTGGCAACATGTGGACAACAATGTGGGCACCACATTTTTTTTTTTTTAAAAGGACAGGTTTATTTTCTTAAGAAGCGCAGAGATTACGGGCGTTCTCAGCACATTTAGAGGGAGGAAGCATTCAAGTGCAACAAAGGGGGTCAGGAAACACAGCTGTGTCAGGACCTTAACATCGGAGATGACACCTGGAGGTGTCCCAGTGTGTCCCGGATGAGTGGTTGGAGAGAGGGAAATGCAGGACATTCGTAAGGCCATGCCAGCAGTCCTCCAGAGCCAGACATTTGAGATATTCTCCACTCACCCAACTCTTGAATCAACTGTGTTATAATGCTGATGTCAAATCGGTTTAACTTTTTTCAATAAATGCTGCCGCGATCCGGCTGTCAATTCAAACCTCAAGTGGGCAGCAGTTTGATCGAGTGCGGCCCGTTTCTTTTAAAGACGAGCCGCGTCATCTCCCCACAGAGAAGGTGAGCGATACTGCTAATCGAGGGCAAACCAAATGAGTGACACATTGGGCCGGCAGGTACATTAGGTCGTCCTCCAGCCACGGGTTCACTGCCCCACGCGGCTGTATCTCACTGTGACCTGTGGAAATCAGAGCTCAGATCAGCTCAACATCATCAATCATTAAGCCCTGAGCGCAGGGTCAGACATTCGGACCAAAGTCCTCCAGGAAAGTGGGACCTTTTCAAAGTGGACCGTCCCGTGCAGAGGGTGGTCAACCGCAACGATAGCAGCAGAAAAACACCCTACGTGGGGCATTCTGGGCACACGGGCCCAGAACAATGGGGACTTGTTCCCATGTTGAGGCTACAAGACAGAAGCTTCTGGGGTCATGCACAGGGTCGTTTCACTGGAAAAACAAACAATCGGGCATCCATTTCAATGCAAACTGTACCCACTCTTCTTTCTATAAAAACAGAGTGTTCCTTTCATCCGGCGTGTTGCGGGGGGTGCGTGCTTGAAAGTGATGAAGAGGAACACTTACTGGAAGCAGGCGTTGTGCCAGGTGTCCTGGAGGACCTTCATGCGGAACGAGTCTTGGATTTCTCCTCCACATCCCGCGCAGTAACAACCATCTGCAACTTTAAGGAAAAGACAAAGCCTTCACGTGGAACTCGAGTAGCATTGCGTGGTTAAACAGCGCAAGGGCAGAAGATAAAACCGAGTATTGGGAATAACATTGAGTAAACAGCAGCGTCGCTCGACGTTGCTCCGAAAACCGCGCAATACGCCTAAAAAGGCGCTACAACACACCGAGAAAAGACTGCAACGTTTCGATAGACGGAAACAATGTCGCGTCAGAATAGAATTGGGGAACATGACATATTGCTCACCTTCTGGTTCCTCCATCTGCTTTCTAAGAGCGCCGTCGGTATTTAAATCCTTTCACAGACGGTTCATACTGAAGCAGGAGAGTTCACTCGTCTTCAACAACCCCGGAGACCCCAGCAAAAACACACACACTCTCACACCTCACACACACACAAATCCTTTAATTCTCAACAGAAAAAGAGAAAGAGTCTCTACACTCCTACTGGACGAAGCGGCTTCCCTGCCGCTGTCTGGATGAATGACGTAATGCAGTCTTCAAATTCCTGTACGGAAAGCGAAAAGGCTCAACTGCAGCACCTGGATGCAGGACGGACCGCGTACCTTTGGAATATTATACACATATATTACACTGTGTAGAACAGTGTCCGTGTACAACAGCGCCATTGTGCCCGGGATGAAAGTGCAGATAAGTGGTAGTAGTTCAATTAATGAGCCGTCTGACTGAATCTGCATGGTGTCAACCACTTTTACAACTCCCACCGGCCCAGAGTTATTCATTTATCGTCATTATTATTAACCTTTGTTCTCATGTTACCCTGGTGTATGATTGCATTACAAACGTTGAATTTCTAGCATTCAAACCTTATATTGCCTCGACTGCGCTTTGGAATTCGTTTTATAGGCTTAAAGGAATTTACGTTAAAATCGGTTGTTATTCGAGTTTGGTTGTTTCCTGTTTGTTTGTTTTTGGACTGACACAACAACAATGGTAAAACAGCTCTGCGTTTTCTTTTTCTAGTTTTTGGCTTACAACGAAATCCATTGTATATCCGTATTTTTGTTTTATCGTGTAAACGGTAATGGACTATAAATATACACACTGACACTGCACTGCCGACTACTGGACACAGGTAGAAATACACATATGAGGAAGCTTCAATTCGATCGCCACAATCACAGAAAGCCTTCGACTATTCATTTTGTGTGAACATCTGCAACAACCAAAACCAAACTACTGCGAATTCAAGCCTTCCCGCAGTTACGGTGTGTTACTGATGTATCAGTGGTAAAAGATGTGCCGGTAAACCATCAGTCAAAAACTTGAAAGACCCTTGACTTGAATTTACCCTAATTAGCTAAAAAAAAGCACGTTTTTCTTTTCAAATGGGGATTTGATTTTGTTCCAGCCAATTCTGACAACAACTTTAACTTAACGAAATCAGGAGGAGATTCTTCATGTGTGAGAGGGAGAGCTTGAGAAACAGCTCACATAAAGCAGAGAAGTAGAACATGTTGGTGCAGTGTATCCTGAAATACATAAATCTATAATATACCTAAACCTGACATGACATAATAACAGTGCTGACACTTCTTTTGAGGGCTCGGTCAACTGACACTGTGACCATTTTGCCTGCAGATGGTGTCAATTGTGAGGTTTTGAGTGTCTTTACCACAGTCAGTCCACATACATCAGCTTTTGTTTAAGCTTAAGCTTAAGCTTAAGTGGCTCACAGTCAAGCCATTGGTTTAGTTTTGCCGTTTGTCTCCTCCACTTTCCAGTCTTTCTGCTTACATCTAATATGATTGTGTTTAGTAACTAACAAATCGATTAATGCTGTGGATTACTTTATCACCATTATTTAATGGAATTTAGACCACTTTTACGTATCATTATTGCATCTCTTACTTTTTTTTTATACCTGTATTAAAAATACCTGTATGTCTCTCACGTATGAAATGGATAACTTGTATAAAACTATTAAATTGCAAAAAAAGTTAAGCTGACTAAATTTATACACACCCGATTAATACAAATTAAGTGCAAAATAAAATATCCAAACCAGTACTCAACTCTCCCCTGTTTTCTTTTTGCGTGTGACTATTTCTTTGTCGTGATTCCTAAACCAGGTTACAGGGCAAAATATGTTTTTTTGGCAAATCATAATATTGTGTACAACTGTTTGAATGTTTGCGCATTTAGGGCGTTAAAGTATGTCTTCTCCAAAACAACATTTAAACAGTTTTTCATATTTGAATGGCCTTTTATTAATGTACCGTGATCGGGTACAGTAAGGTGGCCTCTTACACAGAAATAGAAAAGTCAGGCATATTTGAATGCAGCCCCACATGCAAGATTAAGACAAGCAAACAATTCTTTCAAAAGTAAAAAGACGTGAAAGTTAAATTAAAACATTACATTATGAATCTTAACTGCCTTCAAACGAGCTTGATCTCACCGGTCAAGAAACAAAAGACTCTGAGACAACTGACTACATGTAAGATACAGTAAATCCGAATTATATATCTCTCTACGGAGGCGTCAATTCGGCTGAACAATAAATTTGAATAACCGGCCGAACCTCAAACCACAGGTTTTTAAACCTTTAAAAAAAACAAAAAAAACACGCACACAGTTCACACCAACTTGACAGCATGAATGAACATGCGGGACTCTTTAGTATCACGATCATGACAGCTGTACGGGGTGACGTGTGTATTTATCAGACTCATTTAGATGCAGCCAGCTGTGCTGCATGACGTCCTAAATGAAGCTTTTATTTTGAAAAGGGGCGTGTCTTCAGCTAACTAACGTGACAGCGGCAGCGAGGATGGACGAGCTCATGTTACCTTACAAAAGCCGGCTCTGCAACGAGAAAACCGGTCGCGCTTTTGCAAGAGCAGGTTACGAGTCACTGTGTTGTAGGGGATCCGTATCGCTTCTTCTAATCGGAGCAGACATTGAAAGATGAGTAATATTTTCATTTAAACGGAATCGCTGATATTGGCTCAGTCAAAATTGAACGCAATTGATCACCTTTCACATATATGATACAGTTGCGCGTAAGCTCCTTCACATCGCCCGCACGACCACGATGGAGATCCCCACCGCAAATTCGAAGGGACCCCCGGGTGGGAGAGACTCCGATGCTCTGAAACCTTTACGTCGCCAAATGATCACCGCGAGCAGAGTGGGCGCGGAGGCGCCGAGACCCACGTGGGGTGGACGTCTGGACTTCATCCTGGCCTCGGTGGGGTACGCGGTGGGACTGGGCAACGTGTGGCGGTTCCCCTACCTGTGCTACAGCAGCGGCGGAGGTGAGTCGCTCTGAGACGTCAATGCTGTTCGCTCTTGCGGCCCTGATCTGCCAACATATTTTGTCTCTCACGTTTATGCACAATAAAGTGTACCACGCTTATTTGTCATTATGACCACAACCAACTTCAACTTACACGTTTTGACAACGTCAAAGACAAAAACATTCTAAAATGTTTGTGGCTGAGCTGTTCGTAGCCTTTACATTAAGCTTGTGAACCTGAAGCAGCCAGAGTAAATTACATACAGCAAGTTGTAATAACCATCATGTCCTAATGATAAGTCAAACAACGACTTTACCTTGAGTTCATATCTTACCATTTTGACTGTCCTGTGTCTTTACCCAGCTGTTAAAGTCTGTAGCATGAAGAACAGTCACGTGCAGGAGGGCTGATATAAAGTATGAAGGCCTTTCGTGCAAAAATAGTGCCAGTCATAACACGCGTTTCCTAAAAATTCAAAATTGAAGGGCATGTGCCGGTTGAGTGTCAATCTTTCATAATGAATGTCATCCCAGCAACAATCTATTATGTGAACCTCTTGTTGGGGTGTGGTTTTTAAGTGAACGGAATCAAAATGATGTGGCCCGGCACAGTCCGTCATACATTCTGATTCACATTTTAGAAAGCGGTAAACAGTTTTCTCTTCAGCGTTGGGAGGAAAATGCATGATCCCCACTGGTAACTGGGTGAGATTTGCAAATGTGACCGTGAGACAACGCCACTCTGGGACTTTCACCCAGAGAATACCACATATGAATATAGGTTCTTATTTTTTAATAAAGGAAGAGGTGAATTTATAGTTTTAAAGTGTTCAGCTTTATGTATAGGTAAGCTTCATGTTGGTTAAATAACACGGTCTCAGTTTAAAAATAAGGCTTTTATTACAAAATCTCTTCTCTATGCTAAAAATGTCACTACACAGAGGGGTTTTATCAGCACAAGGTGACTATCAGGGAGGCCTAAAGGAGTGGGGGAGTGAAGGGGAAAGGGGCCACCACCAGGTACCAGAAGGGAAAAGTCTCACACACACACACACACACACACACACTGCAAAGCAAAAGACACAAATTAGAACACAACAAATATAAAATATATAAACTAAGAATGAGGAAGCCCTCCACCTAGTGAGCCACCACCTATAAACCTATGACCAGCCCACCTGTACTGGTATTGAGAGGACCCCAGAGTAGGAGTCACTCCAGTTGGTTTACGAAAGAAACAACACTAACTTGACTGGGGAGAAAACAAATGAACAATTCATAATCAAAATACTAAATAAAACAAGGTAACCATAAATACAAAATATATATTTGCAAAGAGGCAAAAACAGCAGTGGCTATGGAGCTCAGCAGAAGCCGACGTCACTTCCCCGTTCATGTTAGGAAAGGCACATGTCATACACAATATGTAAAAGTCCACTGAACATCAAAGCAGCGCACATACCTGGGAATTGCACATTATACAGCCACGCATGGCGAGTGCTGCACAGACGGGAGCTCTGTAACTAGTCCCCTTTAGCGCTCAGTCCTGCACCGTGATGTAGTCGTTCCTGAGACAAGTGTAGAGCTGGGAAAGCCTGGGGGCAAAACCTGGGTTATTTAAGGGGAACCAGGAAGTGATCTGGCCTCCCCCGTTGGGAATCACTAATTAGGGTGGTAGGCCAAACCGGTAGAGTGAGGAGGAGCTCTACCCATCACACAAACTATAACATCCCTTCTACAAATGTGTTCTACAGGAAAAGCAAGCTCCTCAGTCATGCAACATGGTCAGGGCTGTAATGGAGAATGACTCGGCATAGTCAGTCAGACCTTCAGTCAGACAGATCTTCTTTCCAAAAAATAAACAGTAAATGTGTTTTTCTTAAGGATTAGATACATTAATTCACTATTTCTTTTTTTTAAGTCACTAGAAACCTGTTATAGAATATATGCTCCACTGAAACAGTTACACAGCAGCTGCCACATCAGGATTGCAGCTATCTAACATAACCAGCTGTTTTCTCTTGTTTTTCTGCTCCAGGTGCCTTCATGGTCCCTTATCTCACCATGGTGATCCTGTGTGGCATTCCTCTGCTCTTCATGGAGTTTTCTATTGGGCAATACACTCGCTTAGGGCCAGTGCATGCTCTTGCCAAAATCTGTCCCCTGTTAAAAGGTGAGTGACTCTGCAGGCCAAAGGCTCCTCCGGAACGGCACCTGCCATTCGAGGAATTTTCCTTGAATTTCACAGTTTCGGGTTTGAGTCCTTTTTGCTATTGAAGTATGTTTAGCAGGTTTGGTACATGACCAGCAGCGTGTCTCATGCTCAGATGATCAGAAACATACTAAATATAATTATTGAAGATTAAATAGCAATATGAATATTACTACCGTTACTAATCCATTCTTGAACAAATTGCCTCCCAAACAATTAATTATTAACCAACAATTCCAGAAATCCAATCGGTATGTAAACAAAGACCACTGGTTTTGAACTAAATTGTTCCCGGAGACAAAAAATCTGGATAATTTCATTAAAGGCCGACACATTCCTGTGTATTCAAATTAATCGAGAAACAAAACATGGGCCAAATAGATCATTAGTATAGCCATGCAATAGCTTTTAACAAAACAGTGTTTTTTAAGGTCAGAGTTGAAAAAACAATATTTGGGGAAATAACACATCTTACTAAATTTGATCGAGAAATCCCGTTGGTTTACCTACAGGCAGCCGTCCTTCTACAACCCCTTTACCCTCTCGGGAGTAACGACGGGCATCTCTAGACGCAGGTGTTTGGTTCAGGACACGAGAAAACACCGTTTAGCCCAAAGTTGTTGTTTAAAACAATTCTGCAAACAGCGACACCGTAGACCGAGCAGTCAGCCCCGCTGAACAGTTTTGAATTAGAGTACCCATTGTACAAATGAAGTAAAGTGGTGTTTCTGCTCAGTTGTTGTTGGTTGTATTTGTTTGTTTGGACACAAAACAAAAAATCCACTGAAATTTGCTGAGAGTTAAGCAATGCGTCATAAAGCCAGCGAGGTTCTAACTGTGAAACCAGGGAATGTTTTCTCTTTATTAATAACATATAACGTTCATAAACATGTTCACAATGTTTTCATCGCCCTCTGCACTTAATTGAATTAAAGTGCCTGGCACATGCACTCCGTGCTTATCTGTCTCTGCATATTTGGTTCAGATTGGAATTCAAATCCGTACTAAACATTGATATATTCTTTTTCAAATGAATGTGTTTTTCTGTCTGATAAATTGTTGATGGATGGGATCTTGTCAAGTGAAAAATACAATCACCGCTTTAAATGAAGGAATTAAATGAAATTGAATGGAAATTAACTTAACCTCTAGAAATGACCTTAAAAATAATTGAATGGGTTCACCCATGTCTACATCTGTTCTTTAAACAAATTGAAGATGTGGATAACTTTATTGTGTTGATTTTTTTTAAAATTTTACAGTGCGTATAAAAAAAGTCGTCCTACAGGGTGACCTTTGGAGTTTTTCCGAATTGTAACTCAAACATGATGAATGAAGTAGCGCGTATGGACCAGAGAGCCCAGCCATCAACAACAATGTACTTGTCGCTGTGAATATAAATGCTTTCTGTCTTGTTCTAACTCTAAGATTTTTCTCCATAGTTTTCTTACCTCCTAAAAGACAGAGATTATCTACCCGATCAAAACGTATGGGTCCTTCCCTTGATTTATCACTCATTTCTTCCTGGTTAATGCTCTGTGCTAAGCAAAGGGACGAAAGCAGGTAGTTTTTTTTCTCTATGTTCCTTTGAAATATTTCACAGTGCCGCTCGGTAGTTTGCTGTGATGTACAATGTGATCTGTCTTGTTTTCAGTCAGTTGGAAATGACTTCACCCTTTAGAGTGTGTCTGGTGGAGCAGTCAGCCACATAAGAATTATGCATTGAGACGGGCAAGCAGGCAATAACAATGGAAGGCGCGCTTACGGTGGACCGTACAGAGTGGTTGTAGCTGATCCCGGAGCTCACATGGGTTTCCTTTGCTTCGGCCATTAAGATTACACAGAACTATTTTTCCGCCGCCTCTCCTTCCATTTTAAGGGATAGTCACCCTGGACCCGGTGGAGCATGGCATTCCTGTCTACAACCAGTGGAAAACACCATTTTTATTTTTTATTTTGTTACATTTAGAGCCATTCGTTTTAAAACCGATATTGCCGTCAGTGGAAAAACATTCCTCTATTATTTCTAGAATTTCAAAGATCAAAGGATGAGGCAAACATATCAAGAATGTGGATATTTGAGCTTGGAGATTTATGTATATGCACAATTTAATGATAAATATTTGCAGTATGCAAGATTAAATAAATTCACAATGCAGGAAGAGGCAGAAAGCTTCTTATTTGAATCCTCCACTCAAATAATATTTAAATAGTACAGCATGAAATTAATATACACGAGCTATGAATACCTAAAGTTACAAACCTATTGAAAAATTAAAGTGTAACGGTCGTGATATGGTTGAGTTAAACATTTTCAACCTTTCGATTCATTTGTTTTTGTTAAAAAATATTTTGACATCTTTGGAAATTGGAGGGGAAATCTACCACAATGTGGTAAATATGTAGCGGAGGCTCGCAGCCAGTCAGCTTTGCTCAGCATCACGACTGGAAAAAGCTTGACTAGGAGCACGTTTCTGTACAAAACACATGACCATTAGCTATTACAGGGCGTTGTGTGTGTCTGGACTATTTCTGGACCAGAACTAGTTGTCTTTCAAACTACTAACTCGTGGAGATTTACTTCAGAAATTGAATACAAATCTAGTCTTGTTACATTTTTTTGGTTTCTTGTCCCTGTGCTAAGCTAAGCTGCCCTGCTGCTAGCTCCAGCTTGGTATTAACTAAACATGACAGACTTTCACGGCAAGTGAAGCGCATTTGCTTCTGTGCCTCTTCCCCGTTGTCAGCGGAATTCTCTTAAGCGGAGTAAGGTGATAATAACAGAAAAACACCTGTGGTACACACAGACACACACACCCCAAACTCTGATGCACAGCGAAGAACCACAGGTGTTAAAGCCTGAGGAATGGACACCTGTGGGAGAGCCTTGATCCTTATCCACTTGGTGAGGAGCCTGATATGTAATTACGGGTCGAAAATGACGTAGTGGAATTTTGAATCCCTGGCTCCAGGAATGCCTTTTATCTGGGGATGAGTTTGCACCACTGACTAGAGATTAACCCGCATTGCCGACTCCTCTCTGTTGCCCGTCTTCATGTGAGATGTATAGTCGCTACCCAAACCGTTCGATCTGATGCACAAATACATGAAAAAGTGTCCTTGTAACAGATGCTGTGATTTGTGCGGATCCGTCTCTCACTTTGTGTCCTCCCCGCCCACGTGTCACTCCGCAGGCGTTGGCGTGGCCACGGTTGTTATCTCCTTTGTGTTCTCCACGTACTACAACGTGCTCATGAGCTGGGCTCTTTACTATCTCTTCCACTCGTTCGGATCGACCCTCCCCTGGAAGTCCTGCAACAACACGTGGAATGAAGTCGGCAACTGTTCCAGCGGTTTCCCCGGCAACGGCACCCACCTGCAGTCGGCCAGCCAGCAGTTCTTTGAGTGAGAGTAGTTCACTGCGTTTTCCTCTTTGTGTTTACAGCTGGTGTGTTTATGTCAACACACCAGCTGTTTTTGATATTTTCTGGAGGAAACAGCCCTCATTAAAATACTGTTGTGTTTCTCTTAAAGGCACTGAAAACATCTTAGTGTGAAGCGATGTGGTTTGTGTATTTGTTTTCTGTTCTTGCTCTTTTCATTGCTCCAGAGTGTGTGACACAGTCCTGATGAAGAAGATTAGCCAAACTTGTTTTCATTTTCTTTACCCCCTTTTTTCCTTTTTTGAATTTGACTCACCACACATAAGCATTTTCTAATTAGCATAACAAATCACTGCATTGCCTAGTTTCTAGACAGCTTCTAGACAAAAGTCCTTTCAAATTATGAGTTTCCAAAACCTTCACATAGGGGCACCCACAAGCAAGTAAAGGTTCAGGTTTTGCTGATTTACTATAAAAGTTAATCCGTCCAAATCTAGAAAGGCTGCCAAAGTGTTTATTTAAATATCTGCCCTGAAGTCTCGCACGCTGGAAAAGGAGCCACAGAGGATTATGCATCTGTTTTGAATTAAGTTGCCCAGTAATCTCATTGTAAAAAGTTTAGAAACGTTACCGTTGGTCCGGCTGACCATTATCTAAATATTAACAAACCACACCTAATTATGTTTTAGTTTTTAGGGGCTTTAAGAATATAATGATAGGGATCACTTGTATTTGAATTTTCACGCCTTTTTTTTCTTTCTTTCTTTCTAGTCACAGAGTTCTGCAGAAAACCAAAGGCATTGAAGAATCTGGTGGCGTTCACTGGGAACTCTTCGGCTATCTAATTCTTTCCTGGGTCATCGTGTATTTATGCATATTTAAAGGAGTCAAATCAACCGGAAAGGTCAGAGGATTTCTTTATGCATTTATTATGGCGATTATGCTTAATGTATTGTTTCCACTCTTCTCCTCTTGTCATCAGTTGTTCGTTATTAAGCAATGTAGATAAGGACAAATAAGTCGTCATCTAGTGATCATTCATGTGCTTATTACAGGGTTATGCTTAGTAGTAGTTTGTAGTTCATCAGCTTTGTAGTTCATCAGGCTGTAGGTTAAATTGTGTTTTTTCTTCTTCTCAGAATCACATTTAAAATAATAAGTGCAATACTTATGTGTCATACTCGGGTTTGTGTAAAAACACACGAGAAAAAATTCAGATGCAAAACAAAGTAAGAATCAGAAGACGATGAAAAGAAACAGAGAAGAGCTTGGAAATCGGATGTGCTCCCAATATTTGTGTTGGATACTATTCAGTCATTTAGCAAATTAAATTTTAACCTGACTTAATAATATGTATTCCCTTCCACGCAAGACACAAATTGTCCTCACAAGTTTCAAACTAAAACCACGTACAGAACAAACTCTTCTTCTTCCTTCTTGTGTCTCCAGGTTGTGTATTTCACTGCTGTATTTCCGTACTTCATCCTCATCGCCTTGCTCATTAATAACGTGCAGCTTCCGGGGGCCGTGAATGGCATCCTCTACTTTGTGACACCTGTTTGGGGCAAACTGTTTGAAGTGAAGGTGAGACTCTGTCAATGGAACGCGTGAAAGGTGTCAGGGTTGGGTATGAAGGCAGGACTCAAACGCAGACTTTAACAAAAAATACTTTAATAGTCAAAAACTCCAACAAAGTAAAAGGCCAACGGGCAAAAACACACACACCAACGGGGGGGGGGACACAGGTGGAAACAATCCGACAATTACAGGTGATGACAGGACCAGGCAGGAAGTGAAGTTACCCGGGGACACGAGTGGCAGAAAAACTACAAAATAAGACAGGAAGTGAACCACACCGTGACAGTAAGATGTTGGTTACACATTCTCGTGGGATAGTTAAAACCAGCTTTCACGTTGTTTAATTCTCCTGTTGGGTTAAGGATTAGACTCAGCCAAAGCCGGAAGTGCAAGAAGGGAAGCGAGCAGGAGGTCATTGCAGCAATGAACTCAATCAAAAGCTCAGGTTGTTTGGACATCTTAGAAATGGAAGAAATTTGACTTTCAAGATGTTTTTGGAATCAGGCTGGAAAACAGCTGGGTCTTCCTTGACCCCTCAAAAGGGAAGGAGCAAGTAAGCGGATGCTCACTAAACGTAGGTGGAGAAATGTAAACAGCAGTGATCCTGCTCATTGAAAGATAAACACATACTGTACATTTAAAGCCTGATTACTGATCTAATTTCTGTCGCTATCATTAAAAAGCCGAAGTTTAGAAAACACCCTGGAACACTGTTCTTGCTTTTAGAGGAACCCGTCGCTCATGCGTTAACAAACTGGATGAAATACTCTGCACAGAAGTGGTTGGAGTTGATGCTCCTCTTTGTTTCCATCGTAGGTCTGGCTTAATGCTGCTGCCCAGGTGTTTAACTCTGTCGGAATAGCATTTGGCTCCATGATTTCGATGGCGAGTTACAACAAGTTCAACAACAACATTCTCAGGTAAATATTTAAAGTCCAGCCACGCTGTGCTGTGGTTTTTTCTAAAGTTGTTCCTTCAATGTACATGTTGGATTGGTGATCCTGTGCAGAGCTTCCTACCGTTGTTTTGATCATTAAATGGCTGCTTCATAAAAAAGTACCTTTTGTTGGATACTGTAAATGCAATAACTGTTTATTCTGTCGTCCTTCTTCCCCAGGGACTCTTTAATTGTGTCATTCACCAACTCCTTCACTAGCCTCCTGGCTGGCTTTGTGATCTTCTCAGCTATTGGCTACATGGCTCACATACACAACCTCCCAGTGGAAAACATCGCAACAGATGGTAAGCATCAACCCGGAAAGAACACGGCACCGCAACCTCATAGATTTGTTTTATTTTGGACCCAATGTGATGTTTTAAATGATGTCATGGGGCTACTGAAATAGACATGGACTTCCCAAAAACTATTTAATTTGTTTCTGATGTTTGATATTTGTTTCTTTTTACTGAAAAACAAGTCACAGATATCAAGATATGCACATCTGTTTTTGATATTCAAAATGTGCAGGTTACTCAGGGATATTTGGAGCACATTATCAAACACATTATCAAAACGGACAAATTGTGTTCTTTGGTTCAGATGAGGATCCTGAGAGGTGATCAAAGCACTGAAAATCTGTAGCAGCTCAAGTTGCTTCGTAGGATGGAAAATATCGCACCTGACTCTCCCCAAAAACACGTTTTGCTGATCACTACGTTTTTTTCTAAAGCACAGTGGTTCATATGCGCTCGCATCTTTTCAAAAGCGATGTCTCGGGACAATAAGCTCTTGACTGCAAGTGGATGACCAGGTTCTCATTTGCAGTGACAGAGTGCATTAACATTGTAGTATGTTTACATGTCAGACTTGTGGGATGCAATATATCAAATAGTGTTAAACTATAATGCAAAGAATGAGCTTCTCTATATACGTCTATTATGAACTCATACTAATCTACACTCAATCTTTCTCCGCTTAATGCCATTAATTATCACTAATTATTAAACTAAGCCGTATCGCGTTTCAGGTCCTGGTTTGGTGTTCGTTGTGTACCCAGAAGTCCTCTCCACCATGCCGGTCTTTCAGCTGTGGGCCCCTCTGTTCTTCTTTATGCTGCTGTGTCTGGGACTGGACAGCCAGGTAAACATCTGTAACACTTGTTTATGTGAAACAGCTACAGAGAAATGGCCAATCAAAGTGGTGAAAAGCGAGTAGAAATCTTCTGTAATCGCTTTGACTACATTCCTTCAGGAATAAAAACATCAATGGTTCCTTTCCTTCATCCAAACTATACGTCTCTGTGTTCATATGTGTCTACCTTCTGGCCATGGACATGATTTCTCATTGACATTATGCAATATACAAATGATAAATTTACAAATCACATTAAAGTTACTGTGATTAGGTTTATAGTACAAAGTACACTATTATAGTATAATAACTAGTATACTTACTATTATATTCTAGATTTAACTCGTAGTTAAGCAGATCTTTGCATGGCCTCATAATTGCCGCCAAAACAAAGATACTAAAATGTCCCGGGCGTAACAAAAAAGGAATCACTCTTCTAAAACGCAGCGTGTGTTTTCTGTGTGTCGCAGTTTGCCACAGTTGAGGTGGCAATAACCTTCATAAAAGACGAGTTTGGTCCCCAAGTTCTGCGCTTCTTGAAGAGAGAGGAGCTGCTGACCCTGGTCATGTGCAGCATCGGCTTCCTCTTGGGAATTCCTCATGTAACCAAGGTACAGTGTTCCATTCAACTCTACCACACCGCAGGATGTTTGGCAGCAGTTGTGTCACCCGAGTCACTTTAGAGACACTTTTTGTCTCTCTCTCTCTGTCTGTCTTTCTCTCGCAGGGAGGCATCTATGTGTTTCAGCTGATGGACCACTACACTGCTGTGGTCTCACTCATGTTCCTGGCTTTCTTCGAAGTTGTTGCTGTGTGCTGGATCTTCGGTAAGATCGGCACAACGCTCATAAATTTGAACCAAGTATTAAGTAGTAGTTTTAGACTTAGTGGTTTCCGACTTTTGCTGTGGCTGCGTAACAGACATCTTTGGTATCTGCAATAGGAAGAAATGAATATTATCTCAAGTGATTAGTCAGCTCTTTTCTTTTTCCATCAGGTGTTCCACGGCTTTCCTCTATAGTCAAGAGGATGCAAGGAAACAATCCTAACATCTATTTCCGTGTGTGTTGGCTGCTTCTCTCTCCTCTACTGGTGCTGGTGAGGTTGAAAGGGGATCACCTTTACGATAATACGAGTCAGAATGGTTTTCAAATTAAATTGAAAGTCTATCCTTTTTCCTTCATAGTGCATATTGATCTCCAGCATCGTCTACTACACCCCGGCTCACTACGGAGAGTACTCGTACCCGGGCTGGGCCGAAGCTGTGGGCTGGTGCGTCTCACTGGTCTCCATCATCTGGATCCCACTCGGAGCCATTCAAGAGATCAAAAGACACAAAGGCTCACTTCTGCAGGTGAGCACGAGTCGTTATTGAGACAATTAAAGGAAAGACGCGGACAGCTCTCTCTCTCTACCGTGACACTAGTGTTAGTGTTTGTAACCATCATCCCAATGTGAAGGAGAGGCTGAGGCTGATGTGAATGTTATTTGTGGTGCACGTATTTGGTCACAAACGTTGAACAAAGTTTTGTCCCGGTGGCGACATCAAGAACAATAAACACATTTCATGCTAAAACTAAAAATCTCAACCTGAATGTGTTAACTAGAATAACACACATGAACGTGTACATAATAGTAGATTTTTTTAGCCCACTGTAGTATCATTGTGACTTTGTGTCTGTCTAGATGTCCTTGAAGGAGTTTTTTTTGGTAAAAGGTTTGTTTCTAATATCTTCTCTGACCCTCAGCGACTTAAAACAGCCATGATTCCCACAATCGACCTGGATGCTGACGGTTCTTTGCCGGAAAAACAAAACCTGGAAAACCCAGAGCTGGAAACCACGTTTACTTTAGTGGCATGACAAACAAGGTCTCTGCATAGTGAACCCTGTGAAAAGTTTACATTCAAGAGACTGTCGAGTGATGGAACAACATATATTTACACTGAGATACACAATCTTATTCTATTTGTTCTACCTTTACTTGCACTACTTTAGTGTGTATTCAGCCTTCTGCACACAACGAGCTGCATTTACCTTCAATTACATGAAACAATATGTCTTCCCGCTGCAAAGTGTCAAATTAATTTAATCTGACACCCCCAAATTTGAGTTATGATTACTTTCCCACTTTGATTGATTCGTCAGTAAATGCCTGCTGTATTCAGTGCTATTTGCTATTGCTCCGTGTAAATAAGAGTGTGTTACGTATCTATGGTAGATAATTTATCTGTCGACGAATCCTTGCAGGCCAAGTCCAATATGTCACAAAAGGGCTGAAGAGAACTATCCTGCTGGAAAATCTCCTCCGCATGCAGCCGGGGAAAGCAGCCTTTGGCCTCAGATTGTGTCCACAACCAGTTATCTCTGTTGCCTTCAGACCCCTTAGAGCGTTTTGTTTAATCTAGCCTTCAGGCCATCCTCTTCTATTTGTAAAGTATGTACTTTGTTTTGGCGGACACAACCTGGAATGGCCGAAATGAAGAAAACGGGCTTTGTGTAGAAACTAAACAAAGTTTAAGTCACTGTTAAGCCATACCAAATGAGATGAGTACACTAAAGGCGTGTGCGTGCGTGCGTGCGTGTGCGTGTGTGTGTGTGTGTGTGTGTGTGTGTGTGTGTGTGTGTGTGTGTGTGTGTGTGTGTGTGTGTGTGTGTGTGTGTGTGTGTGTGTGTGTGTGTGTGTGTGTGTGTGTGTGTGTGTGTGTGTGTGTGTGTGTGGATATATATATATATATATATATCTGTTACCCTTTAACACTGTTGCTAGTGGTCCGACTGTTGAAACAGCGCCACCTGTCCTAGTTCTCCACTGCTTTTTACACATAATCCCCAATTTGGGGGCAGCTGCCAGTGCAAACTGGGTGATTGATGTGAGCCGCCTGAGCGCATCATTAGCTTTGACCTCTGGGCGGCCCGACTGTCTCAGTTTGGAGAAGCGGTTCCAGGTGGTCTGCGCATCCATCCTGATGGAGAGCCAGCCTCCACCCTCACACTCAGCTTGTGCTTCGGCCCGAACAGAAGGCCGACGCCGACGAGTGTGGTTTATATTTTAGCATTTCAATCTCGCTGAACTGCCTTCGAGTGAACACACATAAAAAGAGATGTTCAAATAAAAACCGAAAGCATGAACACAACTTGATAAATGGAATATTCTTCGGAATTACAGACGCACGTGTATTACATGCACTTTAATCGTCTCATATTCATCGTGTTAAGTTTTTCAATGCAATTTGCTGCAAAGGTTGAGTAATGTTACGTGGTCACATGGTTGAGGTCTGGTTTTGGCAGGATTTTGAACCTTGGAGCGGGCAACTCACAAGATTGAGAGATTTTAAATGATGCCTTTGATCTGCTTCTGTAGAACTGAATCTGGCTAATGAGGGTTGTTAATCTCAAAGAGGACAACGTTTATTGGGTAAGATAGTAAAACGTTCCATATTTTATTGCACACTTCTGCACAAAGAAGGAAGCCAGAAGATTTGTCTTAGTATAAATATAATGTATTTAAACTCCAGCTTTAACTTTGTTCACTGGTGTTGGGTTTGGCCTTTTTGTCTCTTTTAAATGAACGACCTCCTGTCTCCATGTTGTGGTTATACTAAGATGTTACCAGGTCACTTTCTGTCTAATGCTGGGGGGGTGTTTGTATATGTAAATACAAATACGTTTGGCCTAAATTGTTTTATTGGCTTTTATTTGATTTATTTTCTGTCTTACTACTCATCAAACCCTCATTCAGGTGTGCCGTTTAACCCAAAGTTCACAGAACTAAATGTTATCTGCCTCAAGTGCCTTTCATGAAAACATTGTTTTTAAATGATTTGTGTTAAATTTGAAAACCAAAATATTTGTTTAGGATGTTGTATGTATATGCTTTATTATTTTATTGTTATTATATGCTGCACTATTTTTATTTCTCTTTGAAAGTGCATTGAGGACAACATATTTTTTGCAATTGTACTTTCAATATGAACACAGATTGTAGTGGGCTATTAACAGAAATACACTTTAAAAACATCTTGTTAGATAACCGTGTGCCATGGTGTCCTGACAATTTCTCTTTTCATTGCAACCAAACACCTGATGATTAAGTTTCAGATTATCCTCCAAATCATTGGGGGATAATCTGCAGTTTGTGCCTCAATAGAAATCTGCAGAATTTAGTCAAACAAGACCGTTCAACTCTCATTTCAAATAACCCTTTGTAATATAAAATCACTTTTAAAATGTGTGCAATGATGTCATTTGTCACAGTTCTTAGTGACTGCATAGTTGTGTTACACGCACACACTGTAAGAGTGAACATGGTCACCACACATAATGCAATCTCATTTAGAAATTGTGTCCAAACCCTTGAATGGTACTGTACACTTTAAAGGCAAGACTTTTTTTTATCAAAACGTGTTTTGTGTTTATTGAACACAATCCTACTTTACTGAATACAATTGTTGTTTTCTCATGTTTCACTTTTACCCTTGTTTTTATCAGCATTCAACTGTGATTTGTGGTGTCTCGGTTTTTGGAAATAAAAATCGTTCACTGTTGCCCTTGTGTCAGTTAATAACTGCAAATGTTCTTATCATCTGGATCATTACACCACAGAGTCACTGGGTGGCAGCATTGCAGCAAAGAAATGCAAAACAGACACTAACACTGATTTATTTGTAGTACTCTTATGTTGCATATAACAAAATGTGTATTTCAAATATCCTTTACTTGTTTTTAAATCTCTCAATGGCCTATATTGCAGACTCCTATTGCCTTAATGTGTCTATCCCTCTTCTACTGATGGGTATTTAATTGTAATTTAAAAGTACACAACAAAATCAGCAGCAGAGCCTTTTTTAATAATGTTATAAAATGATCAAATAACATGTGCTGTAAAACACATGTAGTCTCTGAATATTGATATTTTTCATTTAGCATTCACCTTTTTATTTTTGCAGAAAAATAACAATTTCTCTCATTGTATTATTGTTAATGCTGTTAATGTTACTATTTCAGCACCTAATGTCTTTTTATTGTCTAATTTAACAAAATGTTTAATGATTTTCTCAGAAAACATTTTTAGCAGAAGAAATCAAGCACTCAAATGTGTTCTAGTGTAATACATTCAAATGTTCACAATGAACTGAACAATGTTGCCCATGATATTCTTCTTTGTCAGTGTACTGATGTCCCCATGCATGAGATAATAAAGAAAACACTTATTCTTACTGTATGATTTATTGCTGCTGTCCTTTTTTGATAATGGATTGAATGTTAATATATGCTACCAGCAATTACTCTTGACAAGTTTAGACATTTTCATGCACTATGGAAGTATATATTTAATACAGTAAACTGCCTACCAGCACCATTATAGTCCATATACTTTTAAGAATTGATGTCTGCACCGGGGACCGAATCACATCTGCTGTCTCAGTGTGGTCAAACGCTGCAGAGCTGGAGGGAAAATATGAGTGTGAGAGACGAATCTCAACGCAGGGCTCTAAGAGCTCTGGAAGTTAATTAGAGCGCTTGTCGTGGAGCCCCGAGCAGGACTGTACGTTAATCCATACCCCCTTCCTGGTTCCCTCGTGACGGATTGGACGGCCACTAAATTAGCGCCGGGAGTTCTTGTTGATAAATCAGCTGGAAGGGAAGTAAATAAATAATTATACGTGTTTGTGAGCCTGAATGATGGTTCACTGTAGCGAGGACGTCTGCGCGTGTCAGACAACGAGTTAAACCAACAGCTGCACGTTGGAGCTGTTTTAGATCTCGCCTGACCTTACCTCGAATAGAGGCCAATTGTGCTGTGATCCAAGAGATCCACTGATCATCGCTGCTCCACATACATAAAGCATCATTTTGGAAAAGAGCACAAACAAATGCCGTGCTGCCTGTGAAGAAACCCTGTGATGATTTGAGGTTTCTCTCTCTCTCTAGAGCTTTTCTTGCCCTGCAGGTGTCCATGGGTGCAGCAGGTGACACCTGCTACTCTCTATTATTATTATTATCAGGCACATTTCTATTTCTATTACTGACTCCATCAATGCTTTTAGCATCATTATCATTCTATTATGTCCGCCGCTGATGTCATTACCGGTAGTCATTATCCATCATTAATCTGCCACCATGGTGCATGGAGTAGAGAGGGCGCGTCCCGTGTCTCGCAGTCCCTGAGCGAGACACGGGACCTTTAACTGCTCCCCGGGGGCCTTTGCGGCGGCACGCTGCTCCTTCTGTGTGGGACGGGTTAAACGCAGAGGAGGATTTCCCCAAGGGAATTAACAAAGGAAACTTTCTTCGTCTTACCACTCTACACGAACCGTTCAATTAATTTTTTGCAACTCAGTTCTGTTGCTCCTTCTGTAAGCGTTGCATCTTTAGCCCTTCTGTCCGTCCTGGGAGAGGGACGTGCTAAATGCGAAACCCAGGGCATTTTGGTTTGCCTCACAACTACTCTCGACATGGAAACTGCTCTGCCAGCGGCTCACACCTAGCATCACTAACAGTACCGACAAACGGCAACAGAACAACACTGTTAACAGTGTTCACCTGAGGGTAAATAAGAGGGGGGGGGGGGGGGCTGTGCTGACGGGGCCAATGCAGTCAGACTGGCTTTGTCAGCTTCATCCACCGTGAGACATCGAGGCAGAGCAGCAGCCGTGAGCTAAGCGGCGGGGGCACGCTCACATGCACTAAATGCATTAATAGTGCACGTGGGCCCATCTGTGTCAACGAAAGAGAAGGTCTGATACCAACACATGCATAGGGAGAGTGACATAACAAATGCATAGAATTTGGAATCTGTAATCGCACAACACATGTCTGTGACGGATATCAGATTCAAACTAACTGGATGACGATTGAGCATCATGTATGTTTTTCGACACAGTCAGCTCGACGCTACATCGTGTTTCAGTGCGGTGTTGTACACATGTTACCGTAAAATGGATTACTGTATGTTACCGTAAACTTGAACCAATTTTACTGTGAATTAACTGCAATTTACTGGCAGTCGACGCTAGTAACTTACTGTATTATTTACAGTGCCCTACCGTAATATATGGTATGTTGTCGTATATTGGATTACAGTTTGTTACCATACGATTACTGTTTATGTGTTATAAATACTAGAATGTTACCGTTTACTTATAACCGTATACTTTTCCATTTAATTCCCCACAAATTAAAGAAAGACAACCAAACTAATTTCGGTCATAGTGGTTGGAGTTTATTAGATGCCTTTAAGACAAAAATGTTAGATATTTGTAACCAAGAACAAAACATAAAATATAATAATGTATACAATAATCAAAAAATGAATCATAAAATTATTAGGAACAAGGTAAACTAACTTCAACAATACGCTATGGAACACTTTCAATTGACCGCAGCAAACGGCTGCCGTCCTTAATCCAGTGCCTCTGTAAAACAAACCAAAATAAAATATTTAGAAACACTGTCAATGGTAAAATATTAAAATTACAAAGATGAGGAAGACAACAAGATGTAAGGAAAGAGAATGAAAGATAATGTTAATCATGCTAGGCAAATAACACTTACCAACGTTACTCGCAGAGA